AGTATTTAGAGCAATGTAACCCGAGCGGAGACCCGGCCCACTCCCTGGATGCAGGGCTTATGATGCCGATACAGCGAATAGCTGACTACCCTGCTATGTGCAGAGAGATTCAGATCAGGGGTCATGTGAGGACTGGTGTGCTTTATGAGAAAATAGGAAGTGAGTGCGGTTGTAGAAATGATGTATCTCAGTTTTGTTTAATATTTTAGATGAAAAGATTTAAGGTTGATCATTGATGTTAGTTTGCGTAAGAATTGGAAAACTGCAATTTTCTGTGGATAATTTTAAAAGGAAGCGTCAAAGAGTACATTTCAATCATACAGATGGAAAATAAGTAGCTATTCGACTGTTAAAACCCCAATCTAAATAAATATATAATGTATCGTGCAGGATCGAGCGCAATGTTAGAAGGAGTAGCAAAAGCTGTTGATGAGAAACTGAGTATGCAGAAAGAGTTCAGCTGTCTTTATAGAAACAACAGAAAACTTGAAGTCTTGATCGGTTAGTTGGATTCCATGGTTTGATCTTTGATACCTAAAGCTGAAAAGCTGCCTTCATTTTGCCAATTTCTCTATATTGAATTCCCTACATTTTACAATCTACATTCTTAACGACAAGAAATAGAGCCCTCCTCTGTGCAGGTCCAATAGAAGAGCTGCTACACTACGGTTCAGTGGTGGAGGTAAAGACACGTGACATAGAGAACTTTGTACCGGAGTCTGACACTGGACTACTCCTACTGGTGTACAAGAAAGGGGCTGCTCTCGTTCAGCGGATAAAGATTAAGAAAAAACATTCTTTTAATGTGAGTGTTGCATTTTATGAGCCGCGGTGTGATAATCGGAGTGTTTAAACACTTAAATGATTTGTAGAATCTGAGGGCGGCCCGGTAATTGTTTCAACCTCTCTGACAAAATCAATTTGAGTAGAGTAGCTCCAGTTTCACGAAAAGAAGGATCACCAAGTTCATTCAGTGATTCACTATTGACTGGGCAATGATAAACTGGATATTCCCTTTACAACCACATAAAATGAACACCCCCAGAAGTTGTTAGCAGAGAAAACAGCCCAAGCACCAAAAGAGGAGTACCAGCTAAAGAAGTTCTACCCGGTATCCTGTCTCCAACTGAGAGACCTACCTCACAATCATGTGTTTGAAATTACAGATACTGTCGCCCAACAGAGGGTCGTTCTCGCTTCTAGGTCAGTTTTAGGATTTAATAAAAGTTCTCGCTTCGAGGTCAGTTTTAGGATTTAATTAAGGGGTAAGACATTTGTTAAGACTTTAAGAGCAAATTTACGTCTGATTAATTGCGAGATTGTTTTTGGTTTTATAAAAGGGAGTCCAGATTGTGAAAATCTCGATATCATCCCATATGGACGGCTGGCTGCCGTAACCGGTAACTTTTTTATAAACATGTAATTTCAGATTGATAGAAGCAAAAGCGGAGCTAATAAAGAATGTAGCAGATATTATCATGGATTACGACAAATTCCTTTCCTCGTCCCTCCAAATGAAGGACTCTGTTTAAACGTCCTGATTGACTCAAAACCCTCCTCTGGGATATTATTTGGTTATTTACTCGTCAGATCTGAGAAGTTCTTTGCTGAGAAAGAAGAAATATGGAAGAAGATACATTATACATAACAAGGGCATATGTCCAGCTACTTCAAGCGAACTCAAAAGAATGTTTGTAAATGGTGCTGAGTGTTACGTATTGAATTATATTGTGATTTGCAGTATATTACGGGTTACTTTTCTTCTACCCCATTTACTTAACAGATTTTTATATGTTATTCACATTTCATTTCAATCTATTGATCCGTCTTCACATGTACTTCACGTGTACTTTACGTTGCATGTATCTACTCGTAAACTGTTTTATTTCAATTTCAAAAGTGACCGGATTAAAATGTTGGCAAATATCTAAGTTTTCGAAATTGGTAAAAATAGAGGTCTTTAACAAACAATTTGTCTAAGAACTTTACTATCATTATACACCTCTACAAAAATTTCAAAATATTTTTAACTGATATTTGAAATTTATTGCTTTTTGAGATGTAGTTCTGATGTGTGCTGTGTTTGTAATTTGAATTTTAGATATCTTCATCCAATTTATTATTTGTTTTGCCATCACTACAACTGAACCAGTAAATGGTATTATGCAAGAAAATTCCCTGGATGTTTTGAAAATCTTCGCGTAGTGAGTACGCAGCCATTGCTATTTATTATATTGGCAATTACCGCAATTGCTAGTTTTAACTCCTAAACAGTAAACAGTCAACATTCTTAGAATCGTAATGCGTAGGATTCGTATTTTATACAAACGTGATACTCATAGTCAATAGTCATAGGGGAAGATATTTTATCCCTCGAAATTTAACCCCTATTTGTTTAAAACAAAGTGTAGGGTATGGGAAAGTGTCTTGTTTCTTTGTTTAGGGTATATATAATATATACCCTAATATAGTATGGTAAAGTGTCTTGCATCCATCTAATATACTCCGTGATGAACGGCAATGTAATGCTGATAACCTGTTCAGATAACACCTGTGCTCCTTGCACTGGACCACCTGGTACCATACTACAATCTACTAGCCCGGGCCATTAAATGTTATTAAATGTGTCATCTATTAGCCCTAATAGACTCACTACACTTGGCGTGAGTTAATTGAAGAAGATATCTACAGGGCCCACATCACCGAGCCTATAGTTCCAAATCCAACCACATTTGTCCTTTGTACAGCTACTCTGTGGGTCACGTGGTCACGTGGGGCACGCTCATTGGCCGACCCTCATCACGTGACTCTACTGCGATACCACTGGTTGGTCCAAGTGTTGCTAAGTGACGGAGCGTGCGCGCGTCGCTGAACCCACGTGACCGGTAGCCCTGGATTATTAGCGCACGTGTTGACGACAAAAAACAGTAGTACAGCGTAACCGATCAGCGGTAATAGTGAGGTACGCTTTTAAGGCATGGTCTGGGGGCGACTCTGAGAGCTGCATGAGACTACCTATTATTCCTTATTTGGAGTTATATACCGTATACATACAGCCTCCAAGTGTATATACTATTTGAGACTGGCTCGCGCCTTTGTTATGTTCTATATTTATTGTCGTCCTGGTAACTGGTGCACTCCAGTTCCGTGTGAATTGTTTCATTGCACTTAATGAATAATGAGGGCTTATTTTAGTGTTGAGAAAAGCTTGTTACATGTTAGTTACCCAGCGTCCTCTTACATGGTTACCATTCTGTTACCTAGTTACCCACCATCTGGGTCTGTAGTGCGAGTTTGCTGATACCGTCTGTAGTGTGTACACTTTACCGCCCAGTTCATAGCTACCGTCTACTAATGAACTGATTAGCAGCTAATATGTTGCTAATATATTGTGATGTTTAGCACCATTGTCCATTAGTGACGTATTAGTGACGTATAATTAGTGATGTATTTTTCTTCGAAACTTCTCCTAAAATTTGCTCGTGAGTAACAGTTCTAGCTTCTGAAGTGTCTGTTTAGTGTGTTACGTAGTGTGTAGTGTGTTTCTCTTTATCAGTTTGTTATCACTCTAACCAGTAACCTGGCACTGTTACTATGGTTACTGTGGTTACTATGGCACTGACCCCCACTTCCCCCGCCAAATTAATGAGAATTGAAGGAGTCATTTGACCAGCCAGTGTGCCCTTGTAGCAGCTGTGTCTGTGTGTTGAGTGTTGTAATAGTGTGAACCGTGGGAACAGTGTTTAATATACTCTCTCATTACTGCCTTCTTTGTTACTGCCGCGACCGTCTTGTGTATTTCGTAACTTGGTGCAAATCGATTAATATTTCATATGTCACGGGTCATCCATCACTGCTATACGCTAAAAGGCCTGGATATAAAGTGGCAGCGCAGTTACCTTAATTTAGCACCAACTTGTTAAACAGTAGAGGTACAGTAGTACCTGTAGTAACTATAGTAACCTGTACATGCCCCGGCATGTCTTGTTGTGGGATATCGTGTAGTGGAGTTATACAGGACTAAATAGTGCGCTTTTCTCATGTACACGTGGATAGAGTTGTTCTAGAGGTTAACGTCCGTTCTCTTGACTTTCATAAGGTATTAACTATTAAGGGTAGAAACCAGCATTTATCTCCGAATATAGCTATACTCACTGGTAATGGATGAAAGCGGCCACCTGACTGACAATTTTCTCGACTGACTGACAATGTTTCTTCTTTTTCCCCATTTAGAATACAAAGATTAGTACATTTTAGCTTATGATTAATATTATATTTTTACCTATAGTTTACCTAGATTCACTCATCGTACATAATGATTTCACCCTCACGTACATAATGATTTCACCCTCACGTACATAATGATTTCACCCTCACGTACATAATGATTTCACCCTCACGTACATAATGATTTCACCCTCACGTACATGGTGATTTCACCCTCACGTACATGATGATTTCACCCTCACGTACATGGTGATTTCACCCTCACGTACATGATGATTTCACCCTCACGTACATGATGATTTCACCCTCACGTACATAATGATTTCACCCTCACGTACATAATGATTTCACCCTCACGTACATGATGGTTTCACCCTCACGTATATGATGATTTCACCCTCACGTACATGATGGTTTCACCCTCACGTACATGACGATTTCACCCTCACGTACATGATGATTTCACCCTCACGTACATAATGATTTCACCCTCACGTACATGATGATTTCACCCTCACGTACATAATGATTTCACCCTCACGTACATAATGATTTCACCCTCACGTACATGGTGATTTCACCCTCACGTACATAATGATTTCACCCTCACGTACATGATGATTTCTCCCTCACGTACATGGTGATTTCACCCTCACGTACATGATGATTTCACCCTCACGTACATGGTGATTTCACCCTCACGTACATAATGATTTCACCCTCACGTACATAATGATTTCACCCTCACGTACATGGTGGTTTCACCCTCACGTATATGATGATTTCACCCTCACGTACATGATGATTTCACCCTCACGTACATGGTGATTTCACCCTCACGTACATGATGGTTTCACCCTCACGTATATGATGATTTCACCCTCACGTACATGGTGATTTCACCCTCACGTACATGATGATTTCACCCTCACGTACATGATGATTTCACCCTCACGTACATAATGATTTCACCCTCACGTACATGGTGATTTCACCCTCACGTACATAATGATTTCACCCTCACGTACATGATGATTTCTCCCTCACGTACATGGTGATTTCACCCTCACGTACATGATGATTTCACCCTCACGTACATGGTGATTTCACCCTCACGTACATAATGATTTCACCCTCACGTACATGGTGATTTCACCCTCACGTACATAATGATTTCACCCTCACGTACATAATGATTTCACCCTCACGTACATGATGGTTTCACCCTCACGTACATGGTGATTTCACCCTCACGTACATGGTGATTTCACCCTCACGTACATAATGATTTCACCCTCACGTACATGATGATTTCTCCCTCACGTACATGGTGATTTCACCCTCACGTACATGATGATTTCACCCTCACGTACATGGTGATTTCACCCTCACGTACATAATGATTTCACCCTCACGTACATGGTGATTTCACCCTCACGTACATAATGATTTCACCCTCACGTACATGGTGATTTCACCCTCACGTACATGATGATTTCACCCTCACGTACATGATGATTTCACCCTCACGTACATGGTGATTTCACCCTCACGTACATGATGATTTCACCCTCACGTACATGATGAATTCACCCTCACGTACATGATGATTTCACCCTCACGTACATGATGATTTTACCCTCACGTACATGGTGATTTCACCCTCACGTACATGATGATTTCACCCTCACGTACATGGTGATTTCACCCTCACGTACATGGTGATTTCACCCTCACGTACATGATGATTTCACCCTCACGTACATGGTGATTTCACCCTCACGTACATGATGATTTCACCCTCACGTACATGGTGATTTCACCCTCACGTACATGATGATCTCACCCTCACGTACATGGTGATTTCACCCTCACGTACATGATGATTTCACCGTCACGTACATGATGAATTCACCCTCACGTACATGACGATTTCACCCTCACGTACATGGTGATTTCACCCTCACGTACATGACGATTTAACCCTCACGTACATGGTGATTTCACCCTCACGTACAATGTACATGGTGATTTCACCCTCATGTACATGATGATTTCACCCTCACGTACATGATGATTTCACCCTCACGTACATGATGATTTCACCCTCACGTACATGATGATTTCACCCTCACGTACATGGTGATTTCACCCTCACGTACATGACGATTTCACCCTCACGTACATGGTGATTTCACCCTCACGTACAATGTACATGGTGATTTCACCCTCATGTACATGATGATTTCACCCTCACGTACATGATGATTTCACCCTCACGTACATGATGATTTCACCCTCACGTACATGATGATTTCACCCTCACGTACATGGTGATTTCACCCTCACGTACATGACGATTTCACCCTCATGTACATGGTGATTTCACCCTCAAGTACAATGTACATGGTGATTTCACCCTCACGTACATGATGATTTCACCCTCACGTACATGATGATTTCACCCTCACGTACATGATGATTTCACCCTCACGTACATGGTGGTGAATATATGTACACCCTATGTGGTATGTGGCCACTATTGTTTACCATACCATGCATAACACAATGATTCAGCAGAATGAATGATGAAGCGTAGGCCTAAGTATAATAGTATTGCTTACTACAAGCTCATTCATACTCATTAATAACAATTACAACAATAGCAGCTTATTGTGTTAAATCGCCCTCTGTAAGTGTAAGACTCGTTCTTTTCCAAAACCACCGCTTTTCAGTCACTTAGTAACGATCAGAATCTGCTTTTCAGTCACTTAGTAACGATCAGAATCTGCTTTTCAGTCACTTAGTAACGATCAGAATCTGCTTTTCAGTCACTTAGTAACGATCAGAATCTATTTAAAAGCAGCACATTATAATTATACCCAATATAGGTAAGTTTCGAGAATATGGCATGCCAGCTACTTGAGACGTAGTTATTATAATCTACTTGTCTTTCTTTATGTAACCACTACTTTCTTTGTCTGGAGCCAACCTCCCCCCCCCCCCCTTTTTAAAGTTTAAAATATTGAAAGGATTTAAAATTTACCTTGTTCAATTTTATTCTCGTCCATCGATCTTAATTTTTGGTGCTTTCTTCCCAGCATATTCCTGTTGTTACAGTATGACAGACTCTAACAGATTACCACACTAGGTAAACAAGTTCAGCTACTGTTCTGTAAATACTTTTGAACTTTAATGTGTAACATTTGACGTCATATTGTACAACAGTACTAGATATGACAGTAAGCAGTCTGGTATCTCCGTGGATTTGTTTTGAAATTTACCTTTTATTCATCAACAATGCACATTTGTTAAGGATCTCTGATCGCCATTCGAATTATAAAATATTATAACGTATAATATAATGTATAATATAATGTATAATATAATGTATAATATAATGTATAATATAATGTATAATATAATGTATAATATAATGTATAATATAATGTATAATATAATGTATAATATAATGTATAATATAATGTATAATATAATGTACAATATAATGTATAATATAATGTATAATATAATGTATAATATAATGTATAATATAATGTATAATATATTGTATGATATAATGTATAATATAATGTATAATATAATGTATAATATAATGTATGATATAATGTGTGATATAATGTATAATATAATGTATAATATAATGTATAATATAATGTATGATGTAATGTATAATATAATGTATAATATAATGTATTATATAATGTATAATATAATGTATAATATAATGTATAATATAATGTATGATATAATGTATAATATAATGTATAATATAATGTATTATATAATGTATAATATAATGTATAATATAATGTATAATATAATGTATGATATAATGTATAATATAATGTATAATATAATGTATTATATAATGTATAATATAATGTATAATATAATGTATAATATAATGTGTAATATAATGTAATATAATGTAATATAATTTAATATAATGTAATATAATGTAATATAATGTAATATAATGTAATATAATGTAATATAATGTAATATAATGTAATATAATGTAATATAATGTAATATAATGTAATATAATGTAATATAATGTAATATAATGTAATATAATGTAATATAATGTAATATAATGTAATATAATGTAATATAATGTAATATAATGTAATATAATGTAATATAATGTAATATAATGTAATATAATGTAATATAATGTAATATAATGTAATATAATGTAATATAATGTAATATAATGTAATATAATGTAATATAATGTAATATAATGTAATATAATGTAATATAATGTAATATAATGTAATATAATGTAATATAATGTAATATAATGTAATATAATGTAATATAATGTAATATAATGTAATATAATGTAATATAATATAATATAATGTAATATAATGTAATATAATGTAATATAATGTAATATAATATAATATAATGTAATATAATGTAATATAATGTAATATAATGTACAATGTATAATTATAGTAACCAGGAATGTCACACTATTTTACACTACCCAGGTACAGGTGTGTAGGTATGTAGTTAGGGGCCCTTCAGTATGATGAGAGAACAAGTTGAGTTGCCATGACAACAACATGATAGAGAACAGTGAATCTGAGGAATCAGGGAGTGAGAACGAGTTGAATGATCAGGAGAAGATCAAACTAGATCCTGTTAAAGCTGAGAATCTTAAGAATGGTTTCACTTTCGGGACAACGGTTGGTTTTTTAATTTTGCATCAGTTGTCCAGTAGTTATATTAATTAAGTTTAATTATGTTTAATTATGCTTGATTATGTTTAACTAATAATCATATTAATCCCTGTTCAGCTGAAGAAGGACCCAGTACAGGAAGCCTACAAGAAGACTCAGAAGCAGATTTACATACTCTTATCTCGCTGTATTGCTTATCCCTTTACTACTAAACAGGCCTCTGATCGTGGATACAGGTATATATTGTGAACTGTGTAGTAGTGTGAACGGAGAATTGAAGTTTCTAAACTATTTTATAAAAAGTTATTAAAAAGCTTATAAACAAGAAAAAGTATAGATACTTTTCTAGGACATTTTCCTTTTGGTGCTATTCCAATTGTTTTCATCAAGCTTTCATTCGTACAACTGTATTGTTTTGTTTTAATATAAAGTGTTGATTGTGCGTGTTTGATGACGCTGAAATGACAGGTACATGAATATCAACGAGATTGTGTTAACGAAGATGAAGGATAAGTTTAAAGACTATCTGGACTCTCCTGACAACATCAGCTCCAAAGACGGTAAGATTCTTCAGATTCTTTAGAGTACTTTTCTCTTTACGCTTTCTATCTCTTACTTAAAGATTTAAAATTAAAAGTTACATTTAAGTTAAAGTGAGTGCCTATATTTTAACCTCAGGGGTTGCTGTCTTGGTAACTGGTAAATGGTTAGTTGCTCATGCTTTCACAATACAACTCGAATTAGGTGATTTAAACAAACATGTATTGTGAAATATTGACGAGCTGAACTTTTCAGCTGTGTTTATAGAAGCGGTCAACTGGTTCTTCAGCGTGTTTCTCATGAGTAAGCGTGCTATAGAGATGACTAAAAGTGGAGGGTAACTACACTTTTACTTATTTACTACTTATGTCTCTTTTTGGGATGATAAGCAGGGTATTTCACCTCGTGCTACTGCTGTCTGACTAAAGTTAAAACCTGCCTCCACAATTGGTCTCTCGTTCCCTCAAATATTACGACTGACTTCTCCCTTAGAGATGTTCAGCTTACCTCCCTTCCCAGTAAACATTGCCTTCCTTATAAAAATCATGTTTCACTAAGGTAATATCGCCAAGGTAACATTACCAAATAAGGTCAAATCCCGCAGGTACACAACAAAAGATTTCCAGCATGTCTTCAAGAAGAAGATCTATCAGCTGGTATGTCAGCTCCCTGATGATCAGGAATACAGTAGAATGGAGCTTCTCAGTGAGTTGCTTAATATTTCAAGTTATAACTAACTTTATCAAGTTATTACTTAATACAGTAGAATGGAGCTTCTCAGTGAGTTACTTAATATTTCAAGTTATTACTTACTTTATCAAGTTATTACTTACTTTATCAAGTTATTACTTACTTTGTCAAGTTATTACTTACTATATCAAGTTATTACTTACTTTATCAAGTTATTACTTAATACAGTAGAATGGAGCTTCTCAGTGAGTTACTTAATATTTTAAGTTATTACTTACTTTATCAAGTTATTACTTACTTTATCAAGTTATAACTAACTTTATCAAGTTATTACTTACTTTATCAAGTTATTACTTAATACAGTAGAATGGAGCTTCTCAGTGAGTTACTTAATATTTCAAGTTATTACTTACTTTATCAAGTTATTACTTAATACAGTAGAATGGAGCTTCTCAGTGAGTTACTTAATATTTCAAGTTATTACTTACTTTATCAAGTTATTACTTACTTTATCAAGTTATTACTTACTTTATCAAGTTATTACTTACTTTATCAAGTTATTACTTACTTTCTCAAGTTATTACTTACTTTATCAAGTTATTACTTACTTTATATTTATCAAGTTATTACTTACTTTATCAAGTTATTACTTACTTTATCAAGTTATCGACTGATCATAACTTCATTATTAGCAGTTATGTGACCGGTACCGGGATTTTGACAAAGACAATTTGTACTTGCAATAATAATTTGATGTAAAAACCAATGAAATAATAATTTGATGACTTTTAGTATAATGGTGGTGTTCCCACCTACGTCATGGTAAATGGTGTGTATTTAGACAGTATGTTATGTCAGCAACTTGGTTGATCAGTGTATCAAATTTCAAGAATATTATGTACATTTTTGATTTTAGCGTATAATATACTCATCCTTGTATTTGGTTATCCGTATCTATTAAAGTCTGAGCAGGCATTGTGGTTCAAGTAAGCGCTCTAAAATTCGGCAATGAATGAAAATATTTGGAAATTCATGTTTACAAATTCTACATGATCTGAGAATGATCACTGTTTAGGTGAGTACACGGTCCTTTCAGAACATGACCAGTTTTCCGACTGGTCCTGGGTGTCAAAAAATGACCACCACTTGTACACCATTAGTGAGTAATTAGTGAGCAATTAGTTAGTTATATTCCGGGAGTAGATTGTAGTACAGTTTATGAATGCTATGAACGGAATCTATGATTGATTGATGGTGACTACTGACTAGTCACCATGGTGACTACTGACTATTGTTGGAATGTTGGAATGTTGGGTGTACACTCGTTAGCCCAACACAAGTAAGCCCACAATAGTGTGCTTTCTGGAATACTATATCAGAAATACTATCCACCACAGGATTGTGGTATAGTCTGATATTAGGACAACAATCACAGTGTACTAATTCTCTCAGTCAGACCCGGCTGTTTGTATATAGATCAGCTGATGAGTTTGAGCAACATAATGAATTTTGAATACGGGTGCAATATTTTGATTTGATTGTCTTTGAGATACCACCGGGAACACTAGAACAGTTCACTGGTGTCGTCAGGGTGACGTAAACATGAACAACTGTTGGTATCGCTGACAATTATTCGAGCAATTCCCAAGCAATTACTATCAGTTTGGAGGGTATATACTATATTATATACTTTATATGCTAGATGAAAATAACAGTGGAATTTCATAGAAATACAAAACGGAGTGTAACGCTGAAGTACTAAGAACTGTTTTTACCATTGTAGTATGAAAAAATGCACAAAAGTACTCTATTACTCATTACCATATTACATACTATAACTGATTACAGCAGCTCAAGATTTTGATAATGACACTCTAAGTAACGCTCTAAGTAACGCTCTAAGTAACGCTCTAAGTAACGCTCCAAGTAACGCTCTAAGTAGCGCTCCAAGTAACGCTCCAAGTAACGCTCTAAGTAACGCTCTAAGTAACGCACTAAGTAACGCTCTAAGTAACGTTATAAGTAACGCTCCAAGTAACGCTCTAAGTAACGCTCTAAGTAACGCTCTAAGTAGCGCTCTAAGTAACGCTCTAAGTAACGCTCTAAGTAACGCTCTAAGTAACGCTCTAAGTAACGCTCTAAGTAACGCTCTAAGTAACGCTCTAAGTAACGCTCTAAGTAACGCTCTAAGTAACGCTCTCTCTCTCCAGGCGAGTGGATAACGGAGTATGACGAGATAGTATCCCAGAGCTCAGAGGAACATGATAGAAGGGTAACCAACACTGAGGGTCAACTCAACAAGAACCAGCTCTACACCCTGTTCCAGAAGATTCTAGAGGTCAGTTATACCTGCACACTACCACCCCTAATTTATAGTTATACCTGCAAACTACCACTCAGTTATACCTGCAAACTACCAGTGTGTAGTCAGTGTAGCTTACGTTGCAATTATCGAGCTCTCTTATCTTTTGTAAATTGCGATAAGTTCAGTTTGCTGCTACCGCGTAGTTAGCCTTTGCGTGTGTACTTGTACATTCCTATACAAGTACATTATGGAGGATGATCGTAAGGTGACCCAATCTCTGGACCAAATTCAAGGATTCGAGTATGATGAACAGACAAAATTGAAGGACAGTGTTACTAAGTGGTTCATTACGCTGGGAAAAGAACTGAAAATCGACGACAGAGATATTTGTGGAGATATGGGCACTATCCGTCGCGGAGTAGAGTCCGCGGCGGAGCCGCCGGACTCCAAGCGGACTCCGAGCGGACTCCGGCGGAGCCGCCGGACTCCGAGCGGACTCCGGCGGTGCTCCGCCAAAATGTATTTACACTGGACTCGAGTACATTTTGGCGGACTCCGAGCGGAGCCGAGCGGACTCCGAGCGGACTTTAAAGTCCGCCGCGGACTCCGAGCGGCTCCGCGGCGGCTCGGCGGAGTGTCCGCCGCGGACTAAGCCACTAGGCGGACTCCGGTCCGCCGCGGACTCCGGCGGAGTGCTTGGCGGACTCCGCCGGACCTCTCCGCCAGACTTGAATCCGGCGGAGCTTGGACTCCGCTCGGAGTCCGCCGGACTCCAACAGAGTCCACTGACTTCCGACTTCCGACTTCCGACCCTCGGCTAAATTTGTCACGTGACATACAACATAGCCAATAGCATTTTGCGATATTGTGGTCAGATGAAAAGGTCGCTAGTGATAAACCTTAACCATTACCCTCACAATGTCAATAGTGTACAACTCTAGTCCTAACTTTGACCCTATAATGTATAAACGTTGACCCTAACCCTCCACCAAACCGCCAGCAGCGAAATATCAATGTCATTGACTGGTCACGTGACCAAAACAATTTTTGTCATATTATCTCATATAGGGAAGCGTTTTTAGTTTTACCCTACACGTTGCATGTGGCGTCATTCGGCCGGATCCCAGCAAGCAAAAATACGTCGACCATCACAGGACGACGCCAGCACTCTCTACGCTCGTCGAGCTCCGATCGTCCTGTGACGAAGTAAGGACGAAGCCTGAGGTCCTCAGGTAACATCGACCACCGATTGAAAATTCAGAGATTTTTTGACATAAAGGTCAAATGTAAAACTAAAATCTTGATGTTAATTGATTGACGACGCGACGTCAATTTTTGAGCACAGCGCGAGCGCATGCGGAAAAGGACCGCGTAGCTAGTCAAGATGTTGATAAATATTTGGCTTGTGGCGCGATGTGTTGCTCTAAGTCTAACTATAGCCCTCTCGCTTGCAGTTACTGGGCCGCGCTCAGCCTGTCATTCCGCCTAATCTCTATTAACAACATTAAAGCCTGGGGTCCTCAGGTAAGCTTGCAGTAGCGCGCGACCGCCGGAGGCGGAAATGACCTGGTTAGCTAGGTAAACGCGATGTGCCTTGTAGGATGAAATCCTACTAGCTGACGCCACTCGCAGCTGTGCTGCTCGCTGTACGTCAGCGATCGACCCTATAATGTCCATGCTGATGGGTCAAAAGATTCAAGAGTTCAGCGAGTCGGCTACTTCTACCTTCACGAGAGCTAAACTTCAATTTACCTCAATCTGAACTGACTTGTACAGTGGTAGAACACATTACAACCGGGCTTATCATTTTACTTTTAAGTCAGATTTATCCTACTCTTATCTTGGACAAAACATCTCGATCGTATCGTTATTAAACTAACTTGAAAACCATAAATAACTGTCAAAAATTCTGGGGACAAATGGTGAATTACGTCAACGAGTTGACCTCTAGTCCCCATGATTTTTAGTCCCCATTAGTCTCCATTGGTAGTCATTGGCCCCCCCCCCCCTCTGTGCTTCAAAGCATGAAGTGCCTTTGGCAAGTGCTCAACTTTCTCAGACGTCTGCCTCTGATAAGTGCGTCAAATTATCTTTTGGTGCATCAAAAATTAGTGCCTCAGACGATTGCATCAGATACATTGGTTTTTGATGTAGTGCCTCAAGGGCCCCAGACGAGTGCCCCAAGTTCCCCAAACAAGTGCCCCAAACGAGTGCCCCAGTCTTGATCTTGATATGATTCAATTTTTAAAAATTTCTCAGTTATTAAGTCAATAATTGCCACATGTTATGTGTCCCTCACTGCGCGCGCAGTGAGGTATATCTGATATCAGCTCATAAACTTTATTGTTTATGATAACTAAATTATATTATCAAACTACGCCAAGTTGGTACGGTGGAGTTTAGTTTATACTAGACTCTAGTGGGCGTTATAGAAGAAACCTTACAGTTACTTAGCCAGCTAATCTCAAGGTCGTTTCTCTCACCAGAGGCGCGGCAAAATTCACCGAGCATTAAGGAACGCGCGCTGGGTAAGAAGTAGGTAGTGCGCCATCGACAGTGAGCCGCGCGTGCCGACTGAAGGATGGTTTTTTAGCGCTAATTTCGGCCAGCACAATTTTCTTCAAACAAATAGATATAGAGTATCCTTCCCGACCTCCAATTGCAACAAAAATTGGTAAGCTTACTCATAAACTTACAAGGAAAGTGTCCGAAAAATTTAAAGCATATCCAACCATCAGACATTATGTTACAGCTAAAAGCAGCGTATTTTGCCCCATTTTTATTACTATATCAACTCCGATATCCACCAAATTTTTCGGACAGTTGTGAAAGCCCAATTGGAAGGTCGTCGCCAATTTCCAGAATGATCTCATTTAAGGAACTGAAGATAAATCCGAATAATACGACAAAAATGGTCAAATTTGGACGAATTTGGTCAAATTACGCGACTTTTACAGCTACTTTTGCTCCAAAAGCCGCGCACCATCAAATATGGCACCTAGGCGAAACTCACTGATCTTTCCAAAAAGGTATAACAAATTTGGTATTGTGAAAATTCTCACAGTCTCTAGAAAACAGTGGTACAAAATTTTTTAAAATCCAAGCAACTTTATTTTTATCGTGCACCCCCTATAAGAAGAAACCTAGCCAGAGTGGAAGTCGGCGCCCTCATTAAATTTTTGGAGAAAATCGCTCGCGCTCGCCAAAATTTGTTGGACCAGGACGATGTCCTAGCCTGGCAGCTCATTGCGCGTCGCAACGAGCTTCGTTGTTCGTCGACGTGCGACGAGCAACGAGAAAAATTGCGTGGCGCGTCGGGTGGCACATCTTAACGGGTGATACGCGTATAAATTTCGATCGCTGACGTACAGCGAACATCACAGCTGCGAGTGGCGTCAGCTAGTAGGATTTCATCCTACAATGCAAGGCACATCGCGTTCATCTAGCTAACCAGGTGCTTTCGCGCCGCTGCGGGCGCGCTTGTTCCACAAGTCATTTCCGGCGGTCGCACGCTACTGCAAGCGAGAGGGCTATACTTAGAGCAACACATCGCGCCACAAGCCAAATATTTATCAACATCTTGACTAGCTACTTGTCATACGTTGTATAGTGAAGCGACCGTGGGGGTCACCGCGTGATACAACTAGCTACGCGGTCCTTTTCCGCATGCGCTCGCGCTGTGCTCAAAAATTGACGTCGTCAATCAATCAACATCAAGATTTTAGTTTTACATTTGACCTTTATGTCAAAAAATCTTTGAATTTTCAATCGGTGGTCGATGTTACCTGAGGACCTCAGGCTTCGTCCTTACTTCGTCACAGGACGATCGGAGCTCGAAGAGCGTAGAGAGTGCTGGCTGGCGTCGTCCTGTGATGGTCGACGTATTTTTGCTTGCTGGGATCCGGCCGAATGACGCCACATGCAACGTGTAGGGTAAAACTAAAAACGCTTCCCTATATGAGATAATATGACAAAAATTGTTTTGGTCACGTGACCAGTCAATGACATTGATATTTCGCTGCGGACGGTTTGGTGGAGGGTTAGGGTCAACGTTTATACATTATAGGGTCAAAGTTAGGACTAGAGTTGTACACTATTGACATTGTGAGGGTAATGGTTAAGGTTTATCACTAGCGACCTTTTCATCTGACCACAATATTGCAAAATGCTATGTTGTATGTCACGTGACAAATTTAGCCGAGGGTCGGAAGTCGGAGGTCGGAAGTCAGTGGACTCTGTTGGAGTCCGGCGGACTCCGAGCGGAGTCCGCCGAGCTGGCGGACTCCGCCAAGCTCCGCCGGACTCCGCCGGATTCAAGTCTGGCGGAGAGGTCCGGCGGAGTCCGCCAAGCACTCCGCCGGAGTCCGCGGCGGACCGGAGTCCGCCTAGTGGCTTAGTCCGCGGCGGACACTCCGCCGAGCCGCCGCGGAGCCGCTCGGAGTCCGCGGCGGACTTTAAAGTCCGCTCGGAGTCCGCTCGGCTCCGCTCGGAGTCCGCCAAAATGTACTCGAGTCCAGTGTAAATACATTTTGGCGGAGCACCGCCGGAGTCCGCTCGGAGTCCGGCGGCTCCGCCGGAGTCCGCTCGGAGTCCGCTCGGAGTCCGCTCGGAGTCCGGCGGCTCCGCCGCGGACTCTACTCCGCGACGGATAGTGCCGAGATATGGACAGAGAAATATTTATGGCTCCAACTGTCTATAAAAAGCATCTGGCACTTCGGCTTGTGGAAGCAATAGACCTCGTTCAACGGCATGAATGCCAGATGGGTAAAATGGAGGAGATCATATATTTCTTGAAGACGGAAGCGTTAGAAGACAAGGATAAGTTGATCAGGCTGCAGGGCCAGCTGCTTGTGCAGAAGGACAAAGAACTAGAGTTGTTTAAGACGTCGGTTAAGAAGACAGTGCAAACAACGGTGGAGTCAGGGATAAAGAGCTACAGTGCAGCTGTACAACAGAACAGTGCAAGTGGTACGGTCTGCAACAGTAACATCCTGAAGAAGGTGATGAAGAGTGTGGCTGCAGAGGAGGACAGGAGCAAGAACCTGATCGTGTTTGGGTTGAAAGAAGAAGAGGGAGAACAGCTTCCAGCGCTAGTAACCGCAGTTCTGGAGGAGATTGGGGAGAAACCTCACTTCGAAGCGACTAGAGTCGGCAGGAAGAGGCCAGGTAGTACGACTATCCGACCAGTAAAGATCACTGTCCCAAGCTCTACAGCGGTTCAACAGATTCTGACGAAAACAGGAAGACTGAGGCTAGTTGAGACCCACAAAAATGTATGGATCTGTCCAGATAGATCTAGCGAAGAACGAGCAACGAGGAAACATCTGGTTACGGACCTGAAGAAGAAGAGGGTTGAACAGACTCATCTCGACCACTATATCCGGTACGGGAAAGTCTGTAGCCGTGATAAGAAACCACCGTGAAGCAATTCATGTCTCTCGGACACTGATCACTATTTGAATGAGTATTGTGTATCTTAATAGTTCTCGGACGTTATCTGTATTTGAGAGACAATTTTATAATTTATATACGAGCTATTTCTTGATTGTTTTACACTTCATATTTCATAATTTGTTTCACACTTCATATTTCATAACTTTATTACTAGGTGGAGGTGACGTTATTGAGACTTTGGGCGGCCATAAACCTCGTGTTTTAAAAGTTGTCCTCTGAACTTGTTTCACTGACCCACGCTTTATAGCATTTATACATTTCGGCCCATTTTATATGTTTGTTCGATTTGCTGTACATTTGTATATTTGCTATTTTGTAAAAGTTTCAAATCAAAAAATCACTTAGTTATACCTGCAAACTACCACAGTTATACCTGCAAACTACCACAGTTATACCTGCAAACTACCACTGCAAACTACCACTGCAAACTACCACTCAGTTATACCTGCAAACTACCACTCAGTTATACCTGCAAACTACCACTCAGTTATACCTGCAAACTACCACTCCTAATTTGCAGTTATACCTGCAAACTACCACTCCTAATTTATAGTTATACCTGCAAACTACCACTCCTAATTTATAGTTATACCTGCAAACTACCACTCCTAATTTTGCTGGACTGATTTTTTGAAATTCTAATATTTTGATGGCGCACACTTTGCAATATTTACACGACTTAAGATGAACAGTTCAAATCCCAACAATTCATTGAACGCAGTGCTCTATTAGGTAACATCGTACGAACACAAACTACTGTTTAATGCAATGCAGCTGAACAATAATGACGAGCAAACTGCAGCTGTGAGGAGGGAACTTGAGAACAGATCTGCTAGGGTAAGTGCTTCTTCTAGTAGCCGCTCTAATTATTTCAACTTTCGTGTTAAAACATCTATCAGTTTACAGTTTACAAATAAAAGTTCACCTCCAGTGGAACCCCCATTTCTTATCTGAATGCCACACAAGTTCCACTACCCTGTAGGTTAACAGCGGGGAACGTCCTCCTTACTTGTTTATACACCATGACATGGCAGCCCAGTACCGGGAAGAAGAGAGGAAGAATGTACGGGGACTTCAAGACAAACATACCAACCCCATGAAAGGTAGATAGGTTCAGTGAATGAGTGTTTTGTAGTATTTATTGAAATTGTGCTGTGTTCTTCATATCCTCGCACGTATCAGCCGATATAATAATAAGTGCTATCAAACAGATATGAACCAGATGCAGTTTGATGGTAGTGATAAAGTTGGTAAAAGTCTGCCTTGCAAACATGACTTCGTCCTTAACTTTAACGTCGAGGTAGAGGTTATGGAAGTTAAGTAAGTAACTTATGTGTGGATTCTACAGTAGAATAAAACTGATTACACTTTGAGAAAAATCAACACCATTTTTGGGATAATTAAACGAAAATTCAACCTATATTCACTGATCCACATAACTTTGATGGTAGACTGCAGTGCCTGAGTTTAAAAGTTATTATAATTATTTGTAACCCTCTAACTGAAGAACCTCTCCAGGTTGACTGCAGTGCCTGAGTTTAAAAGTTATTATAATTATTTGTAACCCTCTAACTGAAGAACCTCTCCAGGGGTCTCCCGGGAATAAAAGGGGTTCAGCCTGAACGTAAAGCATTCTGTGCCATGGATATAGAGGGACAGACAAACAAAGTGCTGTGTACTCACCTTGTCAGTCAAAAAAACCCGGTGTGGACTAACAAGGCAGAGTTCCAGACTAAACAACCTCTACCCAGTGTTAGAGTCTGTCTCAGGATTGAGAGTAATAACCCTCTTTATATGGAGGGACGTCCTATTGGAGAGGTTAGTTTGATAGGGTTCGGGCAACGTTTCAGTTGGCATCAACTTGTAAACATTGTTTACAAATTAGTGTGTTTTTATATGCTTCAGTGTCAAATTGTAAACAACACAAATTGTCAATATGCCTCGTAAAGTAAGAATATCTCCAGATCCTGTTCAAGATGAAGCCAGAAACCCTGTCAGACAAGCCAAAGTGGGACGACCTAGAAGCCAAGGTGGAGGTAGGACAAGGTGGTGTGGCACTCCCCAATCAAGCCTTTGGTTTACAGATCAAGACTTGTGTCAAGATGGATAAACCTGAGAACATGAAACTTGGAGGGTTAGCTGTTCTTTTTTAGCTGTTCTTTTTTAGCTGTTCTTTGTCGTTTATATCGTTTTTGCCGTAAAGTTCCATAAATACTTTATATCTTCAATTTTATTGTATTTTGAGTAATGCCTCTGGGTAGTGCTCCTCAATCAGTAGACGTACATGTATCTATGTATTTTCTCTAGCTGGTTCAACACACCTCAAGTTGTTACCCAACTAACATTACGTGATCACCAGGTTACTCTACATTAGAGGAACATCGCACTGGCAGAAGTGGAAGCAGCGGTACATTGTGCTGGTCAAAGTGGGTCAGATCGTGTTCTGTCTGTGTAGCTACAAGGAGAAACAAGCCACCCCCAATGAGATGTTAACTCTGGAGGGATACACTGTGAACTACTACTCGCCCGATCACCAGGACTGCGAGGAGGACGCCAAGTTCCAGGTTCGTTTTGCAAAAGTTACAGATTCGTTTTGTAAAAGTTACAGATTCGTTTTGGGAAAGTTCCAGATTCGTTTTGCAAAAGTTCCAGGTTCGTTTTGGCAAAGTTCCAGGTATGTTTTGGCAAAGTTCCAGGTTCTTTTTGGAGGAGTTTTCAATTCAGTTCGAGTATGTTTTATCGGAGAATTTCCATCCAACTAGGGCTGGAGCGTTGCTGTTGCTAACGGTAGAGAAATGTATCGTGCGTGTTGCTACCATCACGGAATTATTGTTAAAGTTACTATGTATAGATTACTAATGGAACACTAATAGGAAATTGGCTTACTATTTGTATATATTTCCTCTAAACCTCTATACACTAAAACTTCAGCTTCATAAGCATCCTGGTGCTCCTTTTCAGTCAGATTCACCCCCTTTATCTCCGTTCCTTCAGGAATCACATCTATAAACTTATTGTCAGGAATTGGGGGTAGAATAAATGGCCCTAAACTTTCTATTCTCTCCTGACCATAAAATCATGCTGATCCCCTTCGACGATGTTCTTCCAAAATCTTTTTGCGAAGTCCCGACTTTGACGACATTATCTAATGGAGAAGCGTAAGGTTTTGAAATAGGTTGAAGTGTAAATTGAATGAAATAATACAAGATGCTAATTATATCTTGCTCACACAGATACTGCAAAGATATAAATTACCGATGTCAGCTTATAAGGACGAACTAATAATTTAGAACTCAGAAACTGTATCATCGGTCAAACATATTGAGAAACGTTTCATAAATTTAATAATGGCAGATTACGAAGACTGGTCCCATCTGGTCACATACAGCCCAAATTTGTAAACTGAGCCGAGGGGTCCACAGTTAATTAAGCCAGTAAAACTGCCTATTTTAAACACTTTGCGTCGTCCCTCTATCATGCATGCTGTTGATTGTAAAATATTATGTCATATATGGACACGTTCATTTGAGTTTGAGGATATTGGTAAATAAAAATAATAGCGTTTTTGACGATAGTGGCTTAATTTTGACATCTATTAACCTAGCACGTTCAGAAGTTCTGAACATTAGCCACATAACCCATACTCCCATATGCACTGCTCAGAAAGAAAATCTATTGTTGTTAGGCACTAAAATGTATCAAATGTCACATTTTGTGTGACTTAATTAACTGCAGTTGTCTAATTACCATTCCTTGGCCTGAAACATAGTAGATTAGGTCAATCTAACAATTATGATACAACATTGGTTAAAGGGCACGGATTGAACGGTTACAAGGCAATATTTAGGTAACTTTGTCACACTCAGAATACCATACCTCTATTCTACTGTGATGTGTCCTCAAAACCCTTTTTACTCATTATTTGATGGTTGATCTACCAAGTACGGAGTACCAATCATAGCCCTTAAATATGTTGCTTTGAAAGGTTAGCTAATACAGGCACTTGGTTATTGGGACATGAGGTTAATTCTGTCACAATATATGGAATTTAAAATTTTGGGCGAATTATTTATATCTGATTTTGGTTTGAAAGGCGGGAAAACTTTACATGATGACAATGTAGTTGATGCAAGTTAAGATCAGTTGATGTTTACATTGTCACAAAAAATTATACGAAATCGCAAATAGGTTAAAAACAATGATTATATAATGAAATAGTCTCCTTTAATAACTCTTATAATAACTGATGTGACAAAGTAAACATGTCTTGCCCCTATTTTGAAGATCTATATATTCTATAACTCTATTAGAATTCAACATTCTTTCAGAAAAAATTGGTAGAATATTGTCCAGAACATCAGAGCTCAAGTTTAACAATTTCAGGTTAAATTTGTCTAAGTCACTAAAAATGTGACAAAATTAACTTTTCCTGCCCCAACAATATCAAGATAGTGTGTTAAAATTGGCATAGGAATTAGGATGCTTTATTGCCTATATTAATCGATCCATACTACGAAAAAGATCGGTTAATCTGATGACGATTACCTAACTCTTATAATAACTGATGTGACAAAGTAAACATGTCTTGCCCCTATTTTGAAGAACTATACCTCTATTAGAATACTATGTAACTTTATCATCAAAAAAATTTCGATAAACTAGTTATTTTGCCAGCAAGGAGCTGACAGAGTTATAATAATTTTTTTGTGACGAAATTACCCTATTTTTGACCATGTTGCGGTAGTTTAATTGTGACACTGTTAACATATTACCACCCGATAATGATTTATGTGACTGGTGCATGGTACTAGCAGTGTTGTTTGATCCATAGTACGTAATACAAAGGGTTTAAGCTGGTATATCATTATTTGTTCAATTTCACACATGTTCAGATATCATCAAGATTATGTGACAAAGTAAACTTGTCTGTGCCTTCTGTGTTTTAATTCCTTGCGACTATATGATATAATAACAATTCCTAGCACTTCCAGGCCATTAAATAAACCTACACTACTCAGCATTGCTTATCAGGGTTCCCTAAACATTCTTCACATATTTTCTTAAATAATAAATAAAACAAATATTTAATAAAACAAATATTTATTTTTACGGCACAATCAAACAATATCAATAATAAATAAATCAGGGGAGGTTTGAAGAGGTTTCAAGTGCCGAAGGCCACTGCTTATCTTTAGGATTTGAGAGTGACCTGTGCTTGAAACCCCCTCAACCATCCACTACGTCAATATACTAATTACAGTATACAAATATAGAAAAATATAATAATCTTAAATTACTTATTGGTTTAGTTTGGTGACAAAGGAGAGCCCAGTTGAGTTTTAGTTTAGCTTTAGGTTTTGAATCACAGTTTAAAAGGTTAGCCATGTTTCATGGCAGAGAGAGATATCATGTGTGCATAGCCGTACCGGATGTAGAGTTTGAGATATAATATAGATTAGTTACCATGTATTAGGGTCATCTCGATTTTGGAGACACAGTAAACCTGAGTGCACCATCTAACGAAAAAAGTCGTCAAATATGTAGGTAATGGTCATATGTACCCATCCAATCAACTGGACACTCAAAATTTTGGTCAAAAACGGCAGCAAGGGGTCCATATTTACTCTGTCACATGTTTATAGTGTGATAATGTAACCATTTCCGTGCCGGCCGTATTTAAGCGATATCTTATCACCTGATTAAGATATCGTTATGTGACAAAGTTAGCCTAGAGGATGAGACGATTATCCTAACCTTCAAGGGTTTGTGTAATTTCATAGTGTGACAAAGTCAACTACACTGTGCCGTTTAAAAGGGTCACTTATATTTACCAATATCCTCAAACTCAAATGAACGTGTCCATATAGCTAAGTGTAACATTAGCTCATAAAGGTAGGCTGTACATTTCTCAGCAAGCAAATCATACACCACGTGGCTCGTATTGACGGACGAGGCATGAGCAGTGAAATGACGCTCCTTCCACCCCTTTTTACTTGTAGTAGCGCGTCGCACGATGCACGGTACTTGACCGTGCCGCGCATCAAATAATGCTTCTCGCTAGATCGTACCTCTACTGAGCCGCTAAGAACTGGGAAAAATCCTCAATTTTTAACAAACATAACATTACAGTTCCGACTACTGAAGGAAGGAGAAGAGGTGACGTGTGGAGCTAAAGACTCCCACACCCAGCAACTGTGGGTGAACGCTCTTTACAGGGCAACTGGGCAAACAACCCGCCCAGAGAAGTCTGATAATATCCGAGGAAACGATGTTAATGATATCAGGAAGGCTGGTCTGGATATGCTGATATCTAAGGAGCCCTGTAAACTTGATCAGGTTAGAGATATTGGTGATTACCAGTACCACCTGTGCTGCACTTTTCTCTCATCAATTTGTAATGATATAAAGCCAACAAGCGTTAACAAACACCTGTAAAACCTACAGGGTGTTTCAAGAATGGCGTTCAAAATCTAACTAATTTTAACCAGGACTTCCTATTCCGGACGCTGCAGCATCTGACACTAGAATACCGTATCAAGAAGGAGTCTACAGCGTGCAGGGGCTGGCTGTCTACCGGCCAGGAGTTTGCTCTGATGGAGTATGCTGAGAGATATGGTATCAGATATCTGACTGTTCATCTTAGTTATCTGAAGGAGCTTGTCAACTACGCAGAGGTTATTGTTGTTTAACATTTTGTTGTAATTATAAAGGTTGTATTTTTTAATCATGTGCCAATGCAATTAAACGCCTCTCTGGATGGAGATGAAATGACAAATTTTATGCAGTCATATCACAGATAAAACAATTTAAAACAATCTCTCTCTCCTCAGAAAGGTTTCGTGATAGACCCGAATAAGTTCCGGGATCTCTTCAAGAACTGCTGCAATTATATACAGGGGAAAACCAGTGACGACGGAGTCTGGACCGTTACTAAAGAGGAGTTCCTGGAGTTTCATCAGGTAGTTCGTGATATTAAATCTAACTTTGTCAACATCTACAATCTACTCTTACAGTGAATGATGCTTTACACTTAATACGTTCCCTTTTTATACACATTTACCAAATTTATACACTGTATAAAAACCTCATCAGTATCTATAGCCTCAATCGAAAGAAACAATCGTGTTTGTTGCTCCAGTTTCCAGTGCTAACTGAGTGTTATTTCCAGGTTCGAGCCCAACTGAAGACGCTCCTCATGCAACAGATCACTCACTTTAGAAACAGTTTCCCGTTTGGGAGACCGGACAACGCTTTGAAAACCACGATAAAGTTACTGGAACAAGTATTAACTCACAAAATTGAGTTGAAAGTAGATCTGCCGGATCTTCTAGGTTCGTTTGTACGCCGTGTACAACATTACTCATTTTTACGATTCTTTGGTATCATTTTATCGTCGTAGGGTAAATTGAGACGATTCTATTGAGAGTCCCTTTCCCTTTAAGAATCCTCACTTACAATTACATAACCCCGAATACCTGTAGCATACGAAGAAGAGGAGATGACATCACTGGAATGCCGGAAACAGACCATGAAGTGTTTGGAACAGGGAGCCTATATAAACTACCTTCAGATCAGCCAACAGACTCTTAGACAGCTCAACATGGAACAGATGGAGGCCCCTGGTCCGTGGTTTTTTTGTTGGGGACTGGTCCGTGGTACCAGCCAATGTTTACTCAAAAAATATATATAATATCAATGGTAATAAGAAATTCATCCCCGTGGGGCACATGCATAAATATAAATGTAAAGGAAATCTCAAACTATTCAATTTAGACTTTACCGGTAAAGTATGCAATGACCATTGTGTAGTGCTGATCTTATTTATTGCACATAATATTTCCTTTCTGTCGTATTTTCGACTGTTGCTGAACCTTCACAGTCATATGAATTGACTTTTGTGCCATTAAAATCTTAAACAATAATTTAAATAAATCTTAAACAATAATTTAAATAAATCTGTATGTATGTATGTGTGTATGTGTGTGTGCGGGAAATTTCCGAGCGGCTATATTTTAAAAGCGGTAAGAGTTACGGGACTGGTTTTTTTCGGTATAGTGCCGACAAAACTCTGACGAAGCGAATAAGCAAATTTTGAAAAAATCGGCCGTTGGTAAGTGGTTTAATTGATGGTTCTGTACCACAAATGTGACATAAAATGGCTCACTTTTTCTCCCTATTCGCTCTCTATTCCATTACTGCAGATTATGTAGCGTTGGTACATGAATCATAATTAGTTTAGCCCCGCAAGTAATACTATAAGCTTTTTAATTTTAGGGGTGAAGGGCACTGATTGCGGACTGTTTGGACTGTAGAGAGAGTTCATACTTTCATACAACAATGTAATGCATGTTTTCAAATATAATAGGCGGGACGGCGGGTGTGGTGCGGAGTTAATAAGGGTTAATTTCTAAAACGATTTAAATAAAAATGGATAGCAGTTCAAGACGGGATTGATGAGGTGTAATAGTCGTGGTACAGGGTGTACGGACGTGGTACAGAGTGTACGGACCTTATGATCATGGAATGTGGCGCCTAATAATGACTTAATTATCCACGAGAAAGAACTGATTATGCGATTATGTGTTACTGACTCAGCGGGTAAATACTTCTACCCTTTTTAACTGCGGTAGTGAAATCCCGGCCGAAGGCTGGGTTACACTAGTTAAATGATAAATGTGTAAACCTTGTCTTTCGTGTCATTTTTAAAATGAATGAACAGTTCATGACTTGAACGGGCGGCCGATTAAAAGTAAATCATATCCAGGTTTGGATGACATGATCCAGCTAGCTGATGCCTGCATTGAGTTCCTCCAAGAAACTCTAGAACACTACGGAGAAGCCCTTAACGTGTATGACAGGATGATGTACGAGATGAATGAAACATTCTGGCGACTGTACGGAGTGGACATGGAGTCAGTACTGGTCACACATGAGTCTGGGTCACGGGATATCTTGCCATTGTTTCACAAGCTCAACGCTTACTTCTACGAGGAACAGGAACTCAGATACGGAAAGTTCCACATGCATCTTCACCAGGTTGGCGACAATCACGCCGTTTATTGGAATGTATAGTAATGGAATGTATAGTAATTTATATTGTGTAGTAATGCATATTGTATAGTAATATACAGTAATCCTGTCCTATAAAGGTTTAGAGGGTGCCGATCACATATGTCTTTTTAGGATATACATAGTTTTTCTCACCTTTTAATTTATATCTTTGTCAGGTTTTGCTCCTCACATAGTAATTATCTTTGTCAGGTGTTTGCTCCTCACATAGTAAGTTACCTTTGTCAGGTGTTTGCTCCTCACATAGTAAGTTACCTTTGTCAGGTGTTTGCTCCTCACATATTAAGTTACCTTTGTCAGGTGTTTGCTCCTCACATAGTAAGTTATCTTTGTCAGGTGTTTGCTCCTCAATCCTCATATAGTAAGTTATCTTTGTCAGGTGTTTGCTCCTCAATCCTCATATAGTAAGTTACCTTTGTCAGATATTTGCTCCTCACATAGAAAGTTACCTTTGTCAGGTGTTTGCTCCTCACATAGTAAGTTACCTTTGTCAGGTGTTTGCTCCTCACATAATAAGTTACCTTTGTCAGGTGTTTGGTCCTCATATAGTAAGTTATCTTTGTCAGGTGTTTGCTCCTCAATCCTCATATAGTAAGTTACCTTTGTCAGGTGTTTGCTCCTCACATAGAAAGTTACCTTTGTCAGATGTTTGCTCCTCGCACAGTAAGTTACCTTTGTCAGGTGTTTGCTCCTCATATAGTAAGTTATCTTTGTCAGGTGTTTGCTCCTCAATCCTCATATAGTAAGTTACCTTTGTCAGGTGTTTGCTCCTCACATAGAAAGTTACCTTTGTCAGATGTTTGCTCCTCGCACAGTAAGTTATCTTTGTCAGATGTTTGCTCCTCACATAGTAAGTTATCTTTGTCAGGTTTTGCTCCTCACATAGAAAGTTACCTTTGTCAGGTGTTTGCTCCTCACATATTAAGTTATCTTTGTCAGGTGTTTGCTCCTCACATAATAAGTTACCTTTGTCAGGTGTTTGCTCCTCACATAGTAAGTTACCTTTGTCAGGTGTTTGCTCCTCACATAGTAAGTTATCTTTGTCAGGTGTTTGCTCCTCACATAGTAAGTTATCTTTGTCAGGTGTTTGCTCCTCAATCCTCATATAGTAAGTTATCTTTGTCAGGTGTTTGCTCCTCAATCCTCATATAGTAAGTTACCTTTGTCAGGTGTTTGCTCCTCACATAGAAAGTTACCTTTGTCAGGTGTTTGCTCCTCACATAGTAAGTTACCTTTGTCAGGTGTTTGCTCCTCACATAGTAAGTTATCTTTGTCAGGTTTTGCTCCTCACATATTAAGTTACCTTTGTCAGGTGTTTGCTCCTCACATAGTAAGTTACCTTTGTCAGATGTTTGCTCCTCGCACAGTAAGTTACCTTTGTCAGGTGTTTGCTCCTCACATAGAAAGTTACCTTTGTCAGGTGTTAATTGCTCCTCACATAGTAAGTTACCTTTGTCAGGTGTTTGCTCCTCACATAGAAAGTTACCTTTGTCAGATGTTTGCTCCTCGCACAGTAAGTTATCTTTGTCAGATGTTTGCTCCTCACATAGTAAGTTATCTTTGTCAGGTGTTTGCTCCTCACATAGTAAGTTACCTTTGTCAGGTGTTTGCTCCTCACATAGTAAGTTATCTTTGTCAGGTGTTTGCTCCTCACATAGTAAGTTACCTTTGTCAGGTGTTTGCTCCTCACATAGTAAGTTACCTTTGTCAGGTGTTTGCTCCTCACATAGTAAGTTATCTTTGTCAGGTGTTAATTGCTCCTCACATAGTAAGTTATCTTTGTCAGGTGTTTGCTCCTCAATCCTCATATAGTAAGTTATCTTTGTCAGGTGTTTGCTCCTCAATCCTCATATAGTAAGTTACCTTTGTCAGGTGTTTGCTCCTCACATAGAAAGTTACCTTTGTCAGGTGTTTGCTCCTCACATAGTAAGTTACCTTTGTCAGGTGTTTGCTCCTCACATAGTAAGTTATCTTTGTCAGGTTTTGCTCCTCACATATTAAGTTACCTTTGTCAGGTGTTTGCTCCTCACATAGTAAGTTACCTTTGTCAGATGTTTGCTCCTCACATATTAAGTTACCTTTGTCAGGTGTTTGCTCCCCAATCCTCACATGTAAGTTATCTTTGTCAGGTGTTTGCTCCTCAATCCTCACATAGAAAGTTACCTTTGTCAGGTGTTTGCTCCTCACATAGTAAGTTACCATTGTCAGGTTTTGCTCCTCACATAGTAAGTTACCTTTGTCAGGTGTTTGCTCCTCACATAGTAAGTTACCATTGTCAGGTTTTGCTCCTCACATATTAAGTTACCTTTGTCAGGTGTTTGCTCCTCACATAGTAAGTTATCTTTGTCAGGTGTTTGCTCCTCACATAGTAAGTTACCTGGAGAAAGAGGAGTCCACACTGAGGGAAGAGTTAGAGGATGCGTTAGAAAGAGAAACGTGGCTCAACGAAAACTGTACTGAGGTATTTAGCACCGAGAACTCCTTGGTTTTTAACCTTTAATGTAACTTAATATGTTAAACTGATTCTTGCAAATTTTTTTCAAACTCTGTCGTAGTAATATTCGAATTATCTATCATAAGCTTTAGATAAAAGATGATAGCTAATAGCTATAAGATCAATTTTTGGAGTAAACCTCAACTAACCATCAATAACATTAAAACCCACCTGCCCAGGATTTCTCGTGCTGCGCTGTACTGGATATCGTTGCTCAAGTAAAGAATACCCAGAAACTGGTCGCGGAGCTGAGGTGGCCTGACAAAACATTCTCCGAACACCTCCAGAGCAGGACCCAAAAAACAACTGCTGAGATATTTGACTGTTTTGTCAGTAAAGTGTACGGAGTTCTTCAGACTTACCCTCGTTTACAGGTTTTTTCCTGGCGACAATTTGACCTGCAGGTTTTCCAAATGATATTGACAAGATTGAAATATATACATTGTGATTGTCCGTTTTACCAGCAAGTATGTAAACTCATTTCTAACTGGAGGTTAATTGATTCCCTCTTCTTACTTACTAATAATATATATAACTTAATAATAATAAGTTAATTACTTGTAAGTTAATAACAATAATAAGTTAATTGCTTATATGTTAATAATGATAATAAGTTAATTACCTATAAGTTAATAATAATAATAGGTTAATTACTAATAAGTTAATAATAATAATAAGTTAATTACTTATATGTTAATAATAATAATAAGTTAATTACTTATAAGTTAATAATGATAATAACTGTTGTGTAGAGGAACGTGATAACCTACAACTCTGTCCTACCAGACGAAGTTTGTGTGATGATGAATTCCTGTATAACTGTTCGTATCCACGCAAACGAACTCTGTGGAAACGCCACTAACTCTAACAGCAGTAATTAGTTTTCTGAAATCTTTATTTGTCACTTTTAGGACTGTTATTCTAATTTCAAAGGGAAAGATTTGAAGATAGGAAATTTGATTACATTTTATCTCAAATCATGGGGTGCTCATAGTCATTAAGTCATTCGTCCCTTATCCGAAAATCTAATAAATAAGTTATACAAATATTTGAATAACCTATTAGTTAAACATCTTATGATTATCCAGGTGAGTATAGCTACAGAACTGAGATAAACGACCTGCTGACGCAGAGGATTAACGTAATGTTTGAGTTTGTCTGCACTCAACTCAGCCAATGTTTGGATATCCTTCTCGATAAGCTCAGCCGATATGACAAGGACTCTATCTTCTCTCATTTATATACGTAAGCTATTCTTATCTTTCTAGCCATGTATCAGATCTGGGGGTGTCTCTTAATCTTTAATGTGTTCACCTTCGTGTCTAAATACAGTATAATCGTAATTATCGTGTTTTCAAACTTCAAATTATTATGTCAGGATAATGGGTCCCAAGCTTGCGATAGTTGAACCCTTGTTTTCGTACGTTCGACAGAACAATGTTCAGATGAAACAAGAAATTCACCCAAGCTCGACAAGCTGTCTTCTACTTTGCTGGTAATATTATCGTGTATTGCATCTCACAGTTAAATTTAAATTCAACCTAACTAATAACTTCTTCGTCGCTTTATTCTAATTACATTTTCCATAAGTTGATATGCTACAAACTCTTGAACAATGTCTGAAGGTATATTTCAGGTATAACTCCTTACTGACGACAATAGCAGACTGGCTGACCGAAAGGGAGAATATCGACATGCATCACTTCCAATTATGTGCCATTTCGACCATCTTCAAAACTCTCTTCTCCGAATTCTCTTCACAGGTCCAAACTTCTCTGCGATAACTATACATTGTTTGTTGTTGATCAGATACTTGTTCACTAATCAATGAACTGGTCGAATAAAGCACTACATCCGAATTCTGACTTGGAACCTGATAGCTTGTAACCTAATTAAATGACACCCTTATCGGATTTTATTTGAACGGATATTAATTGGACGCTGGAGTCCCTAGCGTTCATTTTAATGTCCGTTCAAAATTATGTCTTTTCACGCAATGTCCGGTCAAATAACGTCCGATAAGGTAGTCAACTCCGAACCCTCCTATAACATTACTTCTCACCCAGGGTCTGACAGAAGAGCAGCTCAGAAACGCCACCTACCGGATGATACACAACAGGATAGAGTACGAGGAAACAATGAACACCCTCAATATAGATACTACCCGGAACTATGCGTACGGCTATTCCGACTCCTCGGAGTCAGAGTCTGCAGACTGATGCAGCCTGATTCAGACTGTTGCATACTGTTGCAGACTGATGCAGACTGATGCAGACTGTTGCAGACTGATGCATACTGATGCAGACTGATGCAGACTGATGCAGACTGATGCATACTGATGCATACTGATGCATACTGATGCAGACTGTTGCAGACTGATGCATACTGATGCAGACTGATGCATACTGATGCAGACTGTTGCAGACTGATGCAGACTGTTGCAGACTGATACAGACTGAGGCAGACTGATGCATACTGATGCAGACTGATACATGCTGATGCAGACTGTTGCAGAGTGATGCAGACTAATGCAGCCTGATTCAGACTGATTCAGACTGATGCATACTGATGCATACTGATGCATACTGATGCAGACTGATGCATACTGATGCAGACTGATGCAGACTGATGCAGACTTATGCAGACTGGTGCAGCCTGATGCAGACTGATGCAGACTGACGCATACTGATGCATACTGATGCATACTGATGCATACTGATGCATACTGATGCATACTGATGCAGACTGATGCAGACTGAATATCAGAAGCATGAAATTGATATGATATTCTTCACAAGGGATTAAAGTTTTATCATCCGACCAATTTTATGGGAACATTGCAAAATTCAAGATTATTGCTACGTAAAAAAGGGTCATTAACAGAGATCCCTGAAAGGGTTTAAACTTCGACTAAGAATGGTTTAAATGTTAATTTGTTATTTATTGTTGTAGAATAATTTCTGTATTTGTAAAATGTATTGCTTAATGTTTCCAATTATAGAATTTGTATTCTTGAGCTTAGTTCAAACTGCTGTATTTGTAAAAAATATTCAACGACAATGAAATCAATATAAAGTGACTTACTGACTGACTTATTGGTATCAACCACCTGCGGAACTCGTCCAAGGTTGAAGTGTGCAAAATGGCTCCTCAAAACCGTGTTGGACAATGAGGTCGACCTTGAGTGTATTTACCTGGGGACCTCAGGCTATTATGTTCATAAACATAGAGATTCGGCGGAATGACAGGCTGAGCGCGGCCCAGTAAGAGTGTATGTGAGATAATATGTGAGATAATATTAAGCAGACCGTTTATGATGTCTTGGTGAGGTAAAGGGCTTCTTGGAAAACGATCTCGGAAGGTCAAGGAACAACATCTGTTTCAAAAGACAAAGGACTTAAAGTAAATCAACGGGGCCGGGGGCAGTTAAAACATAGGGACCCATTCTCTGATGCTAGTTGGTCAGCCTCTAGACTGCGTAGGCTGACTGCAGTTCTTTCGTCGGACTTCCGCACGTATCAAGCTACCGTCCATATATCACACTGAAGTTGAACAGAGTTGAACTTCAGGGCTTGTCGAACTTTAGTACGTGTCCAACAGCAAGTACAAAACTTTTCTTTATATTTTATGGCTGTGTCGTTTGTAGACAAAAGAACTCATCACTCGCTGGAGCTTGAAGCTTTGCTTTTTATAAATATACCTCTCCTGATTGCAACTCTTAAATAACTCGTTGATTGCTTAGAAGCCTTTTGTTAGTAACCAGTCGATAGTTACCTGGGGACCCCAGGCTATTATGTTCATAAACATAATAGAGATTCGGCGGAATGACAGGCTGAGCGCCGCCCAGTAAGTCGATGGTGATATAAATATTTTGTATCAGTTATCAAACTGCTTTCAAAATTTTGTTCTGAGCGTATAATTATAACAAGGATTGCGCCCGTTTTCTCGACGGGGGGCGGACAAATACGTAATCTTTTTTGGAACATTTTTATCCCCCCCCCCCTCCGTAATCAGTTTTACACATAACGTTTGTGTCAAAATTTCACTAACGTAATCATTCGGAACCCCCCCCCCCTCAGCTGATTACGTAATATGTGAACAACCCCATACTACTGTACATATTTTCTGATTTAGGTTCATGATGAATCTACTTGTTGGTGTTGGTGTTCTTATTTGTTGCCTGTTTCAGCTGACTCACGGTGAGCGTTCGTTTTAAGTTCTTAATTTGATCCACAATAGAGAAACTATATATTTAATTTGTATAAGTTTTAATTTGTATAATAACTAATAATATACACAATTTGTTGCTCATTTCGTGCCGTATTCCTTCATATTACAATATGTATGTATTAATTTGTACAACTAAACAATTTTATCTGATGTTGGTGTTGCATAACCTTGAAAGAAGTAAACATTATTCCATCAAGATACACTTTAGACACCCTGTCATCGATTATGGTCCAAACTTACTTACTTTGTTACTTTGTTGGGCTTCATAGAATCCTCTATCGGGCCATCAAAGAAGTCGACCCCCGGACAGTATAGAAACTTATTTATCACCACTCCAATCCAGCAAGGAGTTTCCACATCGACGGCTGTATCCTGGAGCTGGAGGCTCGTCCGGAAATGACTTGACAAAGTTCATATGTGTTGGGATTACAATAATTTACATTCCATAATCGAGGTCCAGTGACTGCAAATGAGTTGTCATGTAGTGCTTGATTACGTTGACTGCTGGACTTAGCTATACTAGGCACAACTGCTTTTTGACCATGTCTGAGAGTCACCGAGAACTGGATACCAATATCATTAGGACACTTGCAATGCAGAACTTTCCACATGTTGATGATTAAATACTGTTTTCTTCTTCTTTGCAATGACATCAGATTTAGGGCCTTTAATCTCTGCCAGTAGTTGAGGTGCTGGGTGCCATCTATTTTCGATGTGAACGTCCCTTCTAGCTGTTGGATGTCCTTGTTCTTAGAGCAATTCCACAGAGGACAGCAATACTCCAGATGGCTTCTATAGGATAGATAATGACCACTGTAATTTAGAGCATTGGAGCCCTGTGCTTACCCCGGTAAAATATTAATAGTAATACATACATGCTACATGAAGATTAAAGAGGTCTCCTCCTAGTCGTTGGAGTGGCCTGGTTCAGTTGTCGTTTCAAAGTTAATTAGGTAGTCTGATTGGGTTTATAATTATTTTCCCAAGCTACCCTGTCTAGGAAAAGTCCAAATTGGGTTCAGTTGTCCGGTAGCCCAATGTGTTACACAACACATTGCCTTCTTTCAGTCAGGAAGGATCGGATCCGGTTTACCACCTTCTCATGAAACCCAAATCTTTTCATTTTCAGACGCAGTAATCGATGATCGCCCTTATCAAAAGCTTTGGCAAAATCCAAATATATAGCGTCAGTGTCTGCATTTCTAGTAAGACCCTGAACTATATCGTCTACGTGACTTAACAGCTGGGTGATGCAGCTTCTTCCTGAGCGGAACCCGTGCTGGTTGTTGCAGAGTAACTGATTTTTCTCAATGAAGTCAACCATAAAACCACGGAGGATACGTTCATACACTTTGATGATGTGCGAAGTGAGAGCAACTGGTCTGTAGTTGACTGCCTTGGCCCTGTCGCCCTTTTTAAATAGTGGTGTAATATAGGTGTCTTCGTAGAACGATGGCACTGTACCGTTTTCGAATGATTCCTCCCAAATAATACGTATAGGAGAACACAACTCCTTAGCACAGTTTTTCAAGAGAGTTGTAGGTATTCCGTCTGGTCCACAAGCAGAATCTGTAGAGATACTTTGTATAGCTGACATGATATCTTCGTCACTAATTCTAAAGTCCTCTAGTTCTTGTGGGTGCTGGATAGAGGGAGGGGAGAAAACCGGATCCTTAACATCAGGAGAGTTCGGATCGCTAAACACAGAGCTGAACTGTTCCTGCAACAGATCGGCCATTTCCTTAACTGCAGGAAAATGATAAAATCTACGGGTCCTGGTCCCTCCAGTACCACTGAACGGCACAGTATAGTAAGATAATCAACGGGGCAAAGTATCAACAACAAAAAATGCCAAGACAATTTTTTCTCATTTTTGTGTTCAAAAGATTGCCGTAAAAATAAAACATATCATATCTCGTACCGAAAATCTTTACGGTAACCTTAACGAGCAGGATGTGAACTTGATTAGACTTTCATGCTCAACCATCAGAGAAATGTACAGTCTGAACCTCAAGCACAAAGACAGCCTTCGTGATGAAGATGGAAAGTAGTCCTTCAGCTCTCTTCTGCTTTTCTCGTTCTTTCTTTCCTTCTCCTTCTGCTTTGGATCTGTGACGGATGCTATGAGCGACTCTTGGGACTTTCCGTCCCTACATGGGCTTCCGGCCGTGCGTCCATGTAGGAACTGTGGGGCCTTCAGAGTGATAGGGTTACAATGGTTGTTAGTACAGCAATGGATCGCTCCATTGGCCCGACCTCCGAGACGGGGTATCCGAGAGGACCCTGGTCGTGACCAGCTCTGCACCAAAAGGTGTATTCTGGCGCCTGAAATCTTGGACCGTAGTCTGCGTACGGGGTAGACTGCCACGGACGATTATGTTACACGGGCCGCTCACTGCATTCTGATTTTAGCCAGACCTCAGCAGGTGGTTTGTCTCCACTCTTGTTTCTTTTTTTCTTGTCCCCCTGCATCCTTTCCTTCTCCTTTGCTTCCCCCTCTTTTAGTCTTCTTTTTCAGCATCAGCCTCATCAGTCTCACAAGTTTTAGTCTTCAGAGCCACTTGCTCCTACGACCGTACCGTACTGGCTCACTGCATTTGGCCCAAGCGGCATTTTAATTTTCCTGTTTTTAACTTGCTTACTGTGCATTTCACTTTTTTGCCCTAGCGACTAGCGCGCGTTCGTGTTCCCGAGCCTGCCCCCTTTTTCTCTCAGAACACCTCGGGTACACTTGTTCGTCTAAGTACCTAGTGGTCGACACTTTGACAGTCATCACACTGTTATGGATTATATGGCACAGTTGACATGAAAACTTTTTCTTATCAGTCATTATCATGTCACCCATCTCAACATTTTGAACTTCGATAGTACCTCACATGAATTTATCGACAGTTAACTCTCTTTCACTACGACATTCTTAACTTTGTCACACAGTATCACATTTTCATTAGACACCTACATTTTGAGAATCATTTAATTTTCGAATGGAACTTTACCGAATTAAAACCTAGTGTGTGTGTTTGAGCGATTTGTACAACATTTCTGTAATGTTTCAAATTATATTCAAATGTTCTAAATGTTCTAAAATTTCATTTTACATATCTTCTCTTTTAGTTGAATGAATTTAATTGTTGGTGCTCTCATGTGTTGGCTATTTCATTTGAGTCACGAGATAGGTGAGCGATCCTTTTTGCTTTACTGTCACAATAAACAAAATTTATACCATCAAATTTAAAATTAAAACTTTTTAATCAATTCGACTTAAATTTAAAATACATAGTTTTAAAATTGGCAATTCGTTAGATCTGTCGATAACGCAAGGTTAATGCACGGTTAAAACAAAATTAAGGAACGGTTAAGACACAGTTTAGGCACCGTTAAGACACAGTTTAAATATGGTTAACACACAGTTGAAAGAACCGCACGTTTAACGCACGGGTAGCACATATATCTTCAGCTCTTATAAAACAATCTCGACGATCAACAGTCGGTTCTTTTACTCCACAATATTTTGTATAATTCTTGCTTTTGTCCAGATTGTGGGTTCTCCATAAATTGTGCAGACGGTGACGGTTGTTTCAGAAATGATGATTTTTGTGACGGAAAAGAAGACTGTAATGATGGATCAGACGAAGCTGGTTGTGACGGTTTGTTTGAATTATCAATATTTGTTTGACATGTATTAAATAACACAAAATTATAATACTATAATACCACCGCTACTGAGTGCTGAGCGCGATAATTCCCGACAGCGGGCACGAAGAAGAGGAGGT